ATGGTGCCCTTATAGTTCCACTCAGCTCTGTTTTCTGAGCCAGCAACTCGATAGCTCGGAGGGTTGGACACATCAGCAGCTCCAAAACACAAGACCAGGCTCAGATTCTTCCAGCACTGAGGAGCAACAGCAGCACAAGAAGGAGAACAGGTTTCAAGGGATAAATATCACTCTTAGTTCTAACTGACCAACACAAGCACTGGGACAGGGAGATGTATAAATAATCCTTTGGTTTATTATTTTCCTATTGCTTTGTTTGTGGTGAGTGCAAGATTTGCTTTATGTTGTGCAGCCCATGTTTACAGACAGTCTGCCACGAGCTCACACATTGCTCAACCACCTTGCAGAGACAGCTTTAAAATCCCCCCTGCTTTTTACAAGCAAGGATGAGGGTCTCCAACCCCTTTCTCAGCCGAGCCCGAGGGTTCCTGTTCTCCCATGGACAGTTTTGGTGCCTGATATGAAGCATTCAGAACTCAAGTCAACACTGAGAGTTGCTGACAGGCTGCTCACAAGGCTCTCATGACTCCCTTGCTCCACTCCCAGCCTCGACCATGGGTTCAGCTGCACGGCTGAGGGATCACAAGACTTCCCAGGTTGGCTGTTTGGGTTGGGTTTAGTCAGGAACAGCTGTCCTGGGCCGACTGCCCCCACGTCCTGCAGGAGCCACAGCTCACCATCACGTGATGGAATTCTTTGCAATAGAAGTGAGTGGAGGAGATTCACCAGACAGGACTCATCTGGGTTTCAGTGTCTCCATCCCACCTGTGTCTCACTGCTCAAGGCTTTACCCCTTTCATTACCTGCTCACCCTGACCACTGCCTGCAGCTCCTTTCTCTTCTGCTCCCTCTGAGCCTTAAATCCATCACAAACCTCCCCAACTTTCACCCAACGGTCAAGAGCTTTGCTTTGATGTTGCCCCAGCCAAGACATGCACATTAAAGAAAACCTAAACCAGCTACCACAACAAGACACTCCTTGGGTGAACTGCTCCAAGGGAGAGAAAGGGGGAAGATAAACACAAACACGTTACTCACACCACTTAGAGCTGGTCTGAAAGGCTCTGTGATCCCACTGTGACAAAAGTGGGGTAAAATTCTGAAGGGAGTAAAGCCAGAGGTGGAAAAAAAGCCATGGAGAAAAAGAGAGACCATCAGCATATTATTTTGTAATGTCTGTTCTGTGTTTTTTCCTGTTATTTAAAAGCAGGCTCTGAGCACTGGCTCCAGCCTGGGACCAGACCTGACAGACTCACAGGCAGCTTGAATGAAACCAACTGCCAGAAGTGTCCACACAAACCCTGAAGTTCTCTGCCACATCCCCATCCACAGAACTCCTTAGGAAGGGAGGAGTCAGGGAAGCACCACAGGCACAACTTTCCAGGCTCTTTTTTGTCCTTGTAAAACCCTGGAAGCCGAAGTGGATTGGAAATATCACATATAAACATACAAACACTGCTTTTACAGAACCCCAACCTTTGTCTTCCTTTGCCTTCGTGCATTCCTCAGGAGTCATTTGCAAACCCTCAGAGTTTCTCGTGGGTCCAACACAAGGGGCCCTGGGTTAAGATTTTGAGTAATGCAGGAACTCTGCTCACAGGTATTTCCAAAGAGGCTTTACCAGAAGGCACATGAGGAGACCCACAGAATTATGTTCAAAGAGCAGTTTTTGCCCCATCACTTCATCATACAATGGATTCGATGCTTTCAAGACCAGATTTGTTGGTTCAAACTTTAAGCAAAGCTTCTATTTGCAGTTTCAGCACAAAACTGGGCAGTTAAGGTTATTTCTTTTTATTTTTAAGAGCATGCAGCCCTAATGCCATCAGCCACAAGAGTCCAGCCATCACCCTAAGCTCCATATGGAGTTGAAGAGCAGAGATATGAAACTCAGGGAGAAAAAAAACCCAAGAACACCCCCTTCCCCCCACCCCAACCCTGCCACTTGAGTGCTCCAGCGAGATAAACAGTTTGGGGAAAAGGTTACCAAGAGTTTATGCTAAACATCATTTCCGAGGAACTCTGGCAAAGATAAAGAGACCAAGGGCTGTATTTTTTAGCTCAGTGATCAGCCCAGTGATTTCAGCTTCTCCCACCCTGGATATAACACGGATACATCCACGCACTGCTGACAAAAATCTGACTGTACACCTTAGGAATGCTGCTGCTGCTGCTGGAGTTTGTCTGGAGGATATTGAGGCATCTACTACCACCTTACTACAGGGATGACAGCCTGTGAAACCACTGCTTTGTTCACAGGTGATGTCACTCTTATCCTCGGGCAGGTTCCACACAAAACCAGGTGCCTTGGGCCTTCCAGAAACAACCTGATGTTGGGAAACACCTGGAGGCTCAGGCACTTTGATTGACACAACACTCAGAGATCACTGCACAGGGCATGTAGGGGAATATCCCACCAGTAGCCAGTGCAAGCAAAACCTCCCTGCAAGGAGAAGTTTCCTCCTAAATCCCAAGATCGGTTTATGCCCTGAAATACGGGGATTTATATCCCTCCTAAAGCTCTCATTTAATTTGCTATTAATTCTGCAGATTCTCGTTATCCATATCAAATTTCTAATCCTTTTTTTTTTCCTTTTTTTTTCTCCCCCCCCAAATCCCATAAGCCAAGAGCTCTTGGCTTCCACCATGGCTTGGTGGTAATAAGTTCCAGAGTTTTAGGCACCGCCTGGAATCCCAGAGCAGGGCTGGCAATCTGGCTTTCCTGGCTCTGCCACTCCCCACGAGTGGAAGGGTAGAGGGAATTATGCCAAAAAGTCCAGAGGTAGCATCACACGTTTAAAAATGAAAAAAAAAAAAAAAGAAAAAAAAAAAGAAAAAAAAAGAAGAAAGAAAATTGCAGGTGGGGCAAATAATAGAAAAGGTTTAAAGGCTGGTACACGTTTTTCAGGAGTGCCTGCATGACTTCAGTGCCCAGGTCATTTGGGTACTTTTGAAGTTCTTACTCATGTTCTATTTCTATAAATTTCGAGTTATTCTCATGTTACATGTACAAACGCTGCTCACTTGAACCACAGCAAGAACCAGAACAGCGCCAGGGTGGGACAAGGTTGGAGCCTGAGCCCTTTCCCTGTGCTGTTCAGGAGTCTGACAGGTCTAGGGGGAGGCACCAGCAAACCTTTTCCTGATATATTTCCCTTCCAATGTTTATTGTTTTCTCTTTTAATCATAAGCATGAAAACCAAACACCTTGCCAAGTTTGGCCATCACCGGTGTAAATATTAAGTTTAATCGAATGCCTTTCTCTTCCTCCTAAAGCTGTCATCCACAGGAGGACAAATTAGTCTCCTAGTTTATGTTTATCATAAACGACTAAGGAATTTTACCACCAAAAACTTGAGTCACGCCAAAGTCAGTAAACCCTGGAATACCACGCCAAAGTCAGTAATCCCTGGAATACCCACATTATGACATTTAGGTACCACTGTTGAAGCATCAGCCTGCTCAACCTCCCACTGGAGCTGGCGGGGAGAGCCAGGTAACCTGGCAGCAAACCCAAACAGAGCCTCCAACCACGTGTAAAGAAAACTTCCCTTTGCCCGGCGCTGCCTTCCTCGGATTCTGAGAAATCACTGACCTGTCCCCTGCGAGTCTCCGGGATTTCTGGAAGTCACATCCCGCTCCCCGGGCTCCTTCAGCCGGCTCAGCGATCCTTCAGCCCACTCAGCGATCCTTCAGCCGGCCCCGCTCGCCGCGGATGTCTCTGCAAGAATGAGAAGCGTGGAAAAAAACTCGCGGCACACGCTGCTGGACCCGGGACCCCCCCACAGCCCCACCTGCGGCCGCTCCTGCTCTGCCTCCCACCCGCTCCCAGGGCTTTTTGTTTTCCTCCCCATCCCCAGCGGATCCGGAGCGGGACCGCGGGAGCATCAGCGGGGTCCGAGCAGCGCCTGGTGCTGGGCTGCGAGTGCGGGCTGAGCCCCGGGACCTCCAGAGCCCCCCTAGAGCCCCAGGACCTCCAGAGCCACCCGAGAGCCCCCCAGGAGCCGCTCCCGCTGCCCGGCACGACCATCCCCGCCCGCCGCACCCCGCAATCCCGATTCTAATCCCGGTTTTAGTCCCGGTCCTACCTCGGCGCTGCCCGCGGCTGAGCTGAACCAAACCCAGCTCAGCGCCCGCGCCTCCGCCGCGGTTTAAATGGGCAGGTTGGGCCCGGCAGGGAGCATGCGCTGCCCGGGCCGAGCGGGGACAAGGGGGGGGCCTCGGCCACCCCCGCAACGGCCCCGCAACCCCGGTCCCAAATCCCCGCAGCCCCGATCCCAAAACCCCCGCAGCCCAACCCCTGCCGGCACAGCCGCCCCGCGGCCCCGATCCCAAATCCCCGCAGCCCCGGAGCCGGACCCTCCCCGCCGGGAGAGCAGCCCCGTTCCCCGCAGCCTTTTTCCCGGGAGAACAGCCCGGATCCTCGGAGCCCCGCAGCGTCCGCCAGGAGAGCAGCCCCGCTCCCCGCACGCTATTTCCCGCAGCCTCATTCCCTGCACACCGTTTCCCGCAGCCCCGTTCCCCCAAAGTGTTTCCCGCAGCCCCATTCCCCGCACACTGTTTCCAGCAGCCCCGTTTCCCGCAGCCCCGCTCCCCGCACGCCGTTTCCCGCAGCCCCGGAGCCAGGAGAGCATCCCCCGACCCCCGCATCCCTGCGGCCGAACCCGCAGCCGGCACAGCGGCCCCGCTCCTGGATATCGGCCGGCGGAGCATCCCCGGAGCCCCGCACACCGTTCCCCGCACCCCTGGCCGGGAGAACAGCCCCGCTCCTTCCAACACCGGGAGAACAGCCCCGCTCCTTCCAACCCCGGGGGAACAGCCCCGCTCCTTCCAACCCCGCTCCCCGCATCTCCAGAGCCCCGCACACCGCTCCCCATCGGCCCCATCAGCCGCTCCATTCAACCCAAACAAAAAGTGGTTTCACTTCTTTAAAACAAACAAACAAACAAATTTTTTCTTAACCTTTTCCTTTTTTCCCCCTCCCTCCCGCTCGGGCGTTGACGGCAGCAAGAGTGGGGTTTTTTTGGTTTTGTTTGGGTTTACTAAGTACTGTTCGTTGCTTGTAATCGCTTGGATTGTGTGCAAACGGGTCCCCTGCTCTGGGAAGTTTGTGACCTGGCCCTGGACATTATTCATGGGAGATGGTTAAGATAACTGACATGGCTGCAAGGAAAGACACAAAATATATAAATTTATATATACACGCTTATACAGAGATATCTCGACGTTATAACAGCATCTAACTTGTCTGACAGAACCCTGAGCTGAGGAAAAATCAATGTTCTATTCATCCATCCAGCCCTCGAAATGAGAACCCTTAGACAAAACAGCCTTCCCTAAACATCTGCAGCAACAAGTATCTTTTTTTGTGTGTGTGTGTGTGTGAACAAAATGAGCAGAGGATAGGAAAAATGAGGCAAGAATGCAGTTGACAAAACCAGCTGTTCCTAAATTAATGTTTGCAAATGCTTGGGCCAGTTCTTCAGCTGAAGACTTCAAAAGTCGTCAAAAGACTTGGGCTGGTTTGTGCTATTTAAAGATTTGGCCCTCGGTTTTGCCATGAATTCATCCAGCTCTATTAGTTACAGAAGCATTACAAAAGATTAGTTATTTTTAATCTTCGCAGGGTCCCTCCTTTGAGCAGCTTTGTACCTCTCAAGGTCAAAAATCCCATTTCCACGTCGCATTTCAGCTTGGGTCAGCGGGATAGTGGTGTTTTTACTGGGAGCAGCTGTTCCCTCCCAAAGTTTGCTGAAAGGACTCACCCTCCACAGAATAAAAAGCAGAGAAGCACCTGCATTTGTTGTCACTTGAGCTGATGAGAACTCACTCACTGGGGTGGCTGACGAGCAGAAATGACACTGCTGTTTCCTGATTAAAAAAAAAAAAGGGAAAAAAAAGAGCTTTTTTGGCACTCCAGATGCAGGAACTCGGCAACAAAAAAATCCAAACCCAACAAAAAGCACTGGAGAGCTGGGCTATGACTTCAGCTGGGGAAGTGCCAGAATCCAAATTTGGGTGGGGAGAACTGCCCCTGTTTTCTAGGCAGAGAAGTTCACGAGCAATTTAATAGCTATTAGTGCTGGTTGTTGGGTTTTTTCTCTCTCTCTTCTCCTCCCTCTCTTGCTCTGGAGCAGATGACTGTCCCTAGGTGGATTCCCAAATGCCCACACGGAGCAGGAGGAGCTGGGCACTGCTGGGCTCAGTGGTCAGACGAGCAGCATGAACTGCAGTTTCCTCTCTTCTATTCCCAGCTCTGACTCACTGTGTGATCTTGGTTCAGGCCCAGGCAGCCAGTTTTTAAGCAGAAATTGCAGGCTGTGGTGCTGGACACTCCTGGATGTCACTGAGAGGAGGCTCTGCTCATCCCACTGGCACTGGGGACCTCAGAGCTCTACACGTATCCACACCAACAACAGGGGCTGGGGCAGGGCATGGAAAGCCTTGTTTCTCTCAAAAGTCACAAGGTAAATTAATATTTAGTGTTTCATACCAAAGACAAAAGACCAAAACCTCTTGGAGATGCAGAGGGTTTGCTCAGAATCACAAAATCAGTGAGGTTGGAAAAGACCCCCAAGACCATTGAGTCCACCCTGTGCCCCATCCCCACCTTGTCCCCCAGCCCAGAGCACTGAGGGCCACCTCCAGCCCTGCCTTGAACCACCAAGGTTTGCCTGCAGGGCCTCAGGGGGGAGAAGGACATAAAGACATCACCACAGACATAAAATTCAGCCACACACTGGTGGAACTTCCACTCCTCCCTCCTCAGGCCCTTCCTTCCTTCCAGGTGACGTGTCCCCAGAAGGGAGCAAAACCAAAAGAACCTGGCATTTCCAGCCACTGGAGATCCCACCCCGAGTTCCCAGGAGCACTTTGGCAAGAGCTCAGTTGGGATCTTCAGTGGGATCAGCAGCTCTGAAAATTTGGACCATGAACTTGGGTACCCAAACAGGGCAATAACAACCTGACCTTGGTTTCACTAGATCCAGTCCTGGGGTTATAAATGGGCCCAATAATTGATTCTGAAGCAGGATCAGAAGCTTCAGACTAATGCAGGATTGAGCCATCATGGGAATCTGCAAACCAGAATTATCTATCAAGCAGGGGAAACACGGAGTCAACTGCCATCCCAGCTGCTTGTGCCTGATTAGATCATGGCACAGATTTGCCCTGGTCTTATCTAAATCTCATGTACCCAGCCAGGCAGAGCTCGTGGTATCAACCAGAATATGGACAGGGGTTAGGAAGCACCACATGTGGCAGAGAAAACAAGGAGCCAGGGAGCAGGAGACCTCTCAGCTTCACCTGGGCACAGGATGAGCTGTGACAGCTCAGATTCCTCTGCTGCAGCCCCACAGAGAGGATGCACGACCCCCTGGTCCCCTCTAGAGATGAATTTCATGGATGCTCTGATTGACTCTGGGAGCCCCAGGCTGGCCTAAGGGTGGCTTTAAGCCCGTTTTGTGCTTAATTACAGAAAATGCAAGTCCTGACCTTGATTGCAGAGCTGCTGCTGACTCACAGCCCAAACCTTTCTCTCCCTGTGAGCCGAGAGCACAAACCCAACCTCAGCACCCCACCCAGGGAGGCTGAGTGATATTTGCAGAGAACACAGATACCAAAGGTGGAAAAGTGTCAGGGAAATGCCTGTAGAAACCCACTTTGGTGGTGTTTGGTGCTGCTGCCTCGAGAAACAAAGGTGGGAATTCACACTGGGGGCTTTTAGAAGGATCTTCCCCGACAAGTTGACACTTCTAAAACGCTTGTGCCTGTCAGGAGTGATGCTGCCAGGAGATGGACTTTGTATAATTGTGTTTAATGGACCTTTAGAGAGAAAAAGGCACTGGAACAAGCCCAGGCAGCACGGGTTGTTTATACTTGAGGTACCAGAGCAGGCGGCCGCACTTCGGGGCTGATCTTCGCTCTCTCTCTAAACAGGAAATGTATTTTTGTCTCAGGCACTTCAGGAGAAGCCACCAGGCTACAACTTTCAGAGCGTGGGGTGCCCCAAAAAAGAGCATTTTGACTCCCTCACGAGGCCTGAGAGGTGGTGGGTGGGTGCCTGGCGCTCCAGGGACCCTCCAACACGTCAGGGTGGAAAAACAAGGGATGGAAACGGAGCTGCAAAGTCAGCATTGCACAGGCAAAAACTGCCACAGTCAGCACCACTGAGGAGGGAGAATCTGGGGCAGGGAAATGGCAGGGATTGCATTTTCCATGGCAGCAGGAATTCCTTGGTAGAGGCACAGGTTGGATGGAGCTCTGAGCGAGGTGGAAGGTGTCCCTGCCCGGGGCAGGGGGTGGGATGACAGGAGCTTTAAGGTCCCTTCCTGCCAAAATCATCCCGGGATTCCGTGATTGCCTCTGGCTGGAGCTGTGCCAGGCTGGAAGGTGCCCATTCCTGGGGGGGGGCTGAAGGGAACAACACAACGTTCTTGCTTCCTCTCCAACAGCAAAGCCAAGCTGCAACATCCCACAGCCTCACTCTGTCCTTCCTCAGTGTCGTCACCCCCAGCCAACCGTGCAGGCAGCTGGTTTTCCCTGGGTGAGGCTGCAGGGAGGACACTGGATCAGCCCTCTCTCAGCTTTGCATAATTTTTATCTCCCCTAAGTTTCACAATATTTGGTTTTGGAGCGGTTGCAGTCACGGATTTTTTTTCTCTCTTTTCTTTTAAATTATTTTTCTTTTTTAAAAAAATATCCATTTCCTCGTGTTTTGGTTGTAAGGAAAAAGAAGAAGAGGAAAAAAAAAAGAGCTTGGAAACATCGCCTGCCGTAAACCGCCCAAACCAGGAAGCCATTTATTTATTTGCTTTTAATTGTGAGTTTCAAGCCTGAAACAACCTCATGGTTTTGAGCCTCTGCAAAGCCTGTCTCACACAGGAGCAGGACAGGGAGATTTGTTGTGTGGTGGGGACATGGGGTCACCGTGTACCACTCACTGCATCCCAAGGCCTTTTGCAGCCAAGCAAACAAACTTGTCAAAATCCTTATTGATCCTGGCCTGGCTCCCACTGTTTGCTGCTCAGCACCAGCCTTGCTGCCTCTGCAGGCAGCACAGAGGGGGAAAGAGCTGAAATCTGGGAATATCTGCTCTGTTTACAGAGAGCAGGACAAACACTTGGTCCCTGGGCTGCATCCTTAACCCCTCCATCCTCCAGTGAACCCTCCTGCCCCGGGCTCCATGTGCTGCTCTGCCTCCCTCCCGGGCTGTCACTGGGGTTCTGAGCGGTGCCACCGGCCTGGCAAAGCTGTGGTTGCCCCCTCGTCCTGCCAGGAGGAACCTGGCAGGGAGGGCTCGTCCTTGCTGCGGGTGCAGGAGGAGAAACGGGCGACCACAAGGGCAGCGTGAAATCCAAACAGCTTCTCCCGGGGAGAGGAACGGAACAAACGGCTCTGCCTCCTCCTCCTCCTCTGCCCCCGAGGCTGCTCTGCTGCTTGCTGGGCTGTCACCTCCGGGCTGCAGGTAAAAGCCACGTTTCCCACGGGTGGAAAGGAAGCCCCAGCTCTGTTTCGGTGCCCTGTGACAGCAGCCACAGGCTGCAGAGCGCGGGCTCCGGCTCTCTGAACTTTAATCCGGAGCGTTGCAGAGCTCCCCACTCTGGCCCCAGAGGGCTCTTTAACCCTCTACGCCCCAAGGACAGCCCGGCAACGCTCAGAGAGGCCACTGGGAAGAGAAAGGGCACTTTGCACCACCTTATTCTACAACCAGCTTATTCTACAGCCTGCAGTGCAGCTCTGATACCAGCCCTGCCTCTCCTCCCTCCCAGCACATCACTCCTCGCCCACCTCAGTCCTACAAACAAGGCAGGGAAGAATTTCCTGGCCAGTGCCTGGTAGATGCCAGTTTGGGATGGGTCCCACCCTCCTCTGAAAGGTCTTTTCCTCACCAGAGCATCAGATAATTGCTCACATCCCACTCCCTCCCTCCCACTCTTACCCCAAGGGGGCAAATTTGATTTCGCTGCAGCCCAGAATCCCTTTGCCACGGGGCAAAGCAGCCAACTCCAGTGTCAGTTTACAATTTCCAGCTCAAGGCATAAGATTTGAGGCTCTTCCTTGTGAAAACAGCCTATTTTGATTCAAATCTGGCCAGAGAAAGCTGCCTATGCATTGAACTCTTTCCCACCCTGCACGTTTGGTACCAGCGGCTTAAAGCCACCCCGTGCCTTGCTTGCCCTTTAGTTCTGCTAAGCAAGAAACAAAGCCATGGATTTCTTTCTGGTTCGGGTGCCAAGGAAACTGTCAGCTCCCATTCAGTCTTCCCAGCCTTTCCCTGCAACACATTTGCTCAGCCACTTGCAAATGATGCACCCCATGAGCCATCCACTCGATTTCCCAGGGCAGCGTCAGCCCCGAGCTCTGCCCATGGCACCCGAGGGGCTTTGGGTGGGACACAGCCCAAACCAGGGGCCCTGGTGACCTTAACTGAACAATAACTCACTGATACAAGTCCCTCCTGAGCAGGGACAACCAGCTGAAAAAGCAGGTCTTGCTGTTTGCTCCAGTCAGGGGCCATCTCGTTCCTTTAAGGAAATTCTGCTCATCTGCAAAGGGACATAAAATGCTCCAATTGCTTGGATAAAGCAGGGCCTAAACAGTGAGAATTCTTTGATTCTAAATCCAAACCCTTTCTCCAGGCAGCACCTAAAGCCACACTGGAGGTGTCCTCCCCAGACTCCTCCTGACACTGCCCTTGACTTTTCTTCCCCGCTCACAATTTTTCCCCTCCCGTCCCTGTTTCTCCCACAGAGCCACAATTCTGCCACAATTCTTCCAGTCCGTGTCCTTGTCTTGTGTGACACTTCTCAGCTTTGCCAGGCAGTTTTCTGCGGGACTTGGGGTCAGTTCTTTCAGAAAACTGCCCCAAGTCATCATTACTGGGTGAAGCAGGAAACCCAAAACAGAAAATAACTGTAAAAACGTTTCCAGCAACCACCCCAGCCCCATTCGCTGGAAAAGACAGTTCTTGTCAAACCAGTCGATCAAGAATAATTATCTATGAAACTTCAGAAGATTAAAATTGTGCCTTTCCTTGATTATTTTATTATCCAGTTGAGGGGTGGGTGTTTGCTGCAGGTAAACAACGGGCACCCTGTTACAGGACCCAGAGTAAATATTTCCCAGTGTGTTTATTCTGCAACCCTTGTACTGCACAGGCAGGAAGAGGGTGCAGAATAAAGACACCCGAGCTCTGCTCCTTTCCAGCTGTTAGAGAAGATCCATCTTTTTTTTTGGAGGATGAATCCTGCCTTGGAGTAGCCGAGGGTGGAGGAGGATGAGGCCACACACCTGCCTGCAAACAAAGAGGAAAGTGGTCCTTTAGGATTGGGAGAACCTTAATGATTTCATTAATTAACAACAAAAAAAAAGGATCATCAAACGAATAATGAGAGTTTTCCACTCAAATCTCATAATGGCAGAACAGGGCAAACGTGGCTGTCGTGGCTTGATGATTCTATCTCACTTTTTTTACCACCATCCCAGGTTTTTGTGTCTCTCCTGCCTCTGAAAGTTATTTTCCTTTCTGTGCCACGCTTCTCTAGAATTCTTATGGCTTTTCCAGCACCAGGAGTTATCCTAGAACCACCCAAGGCAGCAACTCCTCTGCTCCTGCTGTTCCCAAACGAAATAAAAAATACCAATAGCCCAGATGCATCGATAACTTCGTGATTAATTCGATTAATTCCCATCAGCCTCACCCTCTGAAACCCCAGGGGGGCTGACTTTGACCTGAATGTTGAAAAAAAAAATTGCTCCACCATGAACTCCTCCAGATATTATTATTGACAATCCTGTGTCACTCCCAGACCCGAGACTCGCTGAGGGGTCACTGGCATTCCACAAATCACTGGATTAACGAGGGAAGAATGGAAGGATTGCCTGGGGTCAAGACACACAAACAGCACTGGAGACACTCCCCAGCAGTGGGCCCAGACAGGGTCCCCCGTGTCCCCTCTGGAAGAGTGAGCACCCAAATGTGATGTAATGAGCCCTGTCATAATGGGATCAACTCCAGAGGATGATCTACTAACCCCCCCCTTATTCCCTCTTTTTTTTTTTTTTTTCCTTTAAGGAGCCAGGAAACCTCTCCTGGAGTGGATGGGGCTGTCACTTGTCTTAGTTTTTTACAGAGGGAATTTTTTTTTTCCTGTCTTGGTTTTTTTGTAGGGGAATTTTTCTCTGGGAGTTGGAAGAGATCAGAGTTAATTCTGCACCTGAATTAACAGAGTTGTTGCTGTTCCTCCTCCCCTGCAGCTCAGAACCACCAGCTGATGGGCCACTTCTCCCTGAAACCCTGAAGGAACAATCCAAGGTGCTCCAGCTGTGTCCAGAGACATGTGGAGAGGTGCACGAGTCCCTCAGCATCCTCCTTCTTGAGGTTTTTCCTCCTCTCTCCTTTTCCTGACTTTCACACAACATTTCTCAACGTTTCCCCCACTTCAGAGAGCAGCTTCTCCTTCCTCCAGCTGTAAAAGGGGCCTGACAGCAAATCTCATTTACACGGAAAAGATTCCCAAACCCACAAGTGATTGGCTTCAACTGGCTTTTCCTTTTGGTCAGGATAACTCCAGCCATATCCCAGCAAGGAATGTGCTGTAAGGAGCAGAAGGTTGAGTCCAAGTTTATTTTAGAGGCTCCCCAGGACAAACTTTATCCCCACTAACAAGGTTTGAAGCTGCTGTGGAAGCACAGATGCCACACACAGGCCTGGAGATGGCATTTCCCAGCCCTCCTTCATTGTAGGGCCACGAGATCCAGGGAAAAGCCTGGAGATCAAAGGCAGGCTGAGGAAAAGGAGGTGGCAGCTTTTCTTTCTTTATTTATTTATATATTTATTTTTAAAAGTCTGTTTGCCAACAGCTTCCCCTGCCAGCTAGGCCAGGTTTAGCTTTTAAAGCTGGGTTATTTTTTTTTTGTTTATTTGGGTTATTTTTATTAGGGTTATTTGTTTTGGTGGCAGTGATGCCTTCCAGCACTTAGAGAGTCTTGGGAATTTTTGTTTCTGTTAATTAGCACAGTCTCCTACCCTCAGATCAGAGAACTGGGCTCTTCCTCGTTGGGTTTGAACCCTTTTAATGACTGGAGGTGCAAAGGGAGCAGTTCCCCAGAGCCTCCTTCCCACGCTCTGCTGCTCTTTCCAGCCCTCTGGAATTCTGCTCCAGAGGCACCTGCACAGTGTCCTGCCTGGGGAAGCAGCACCAAGATCCAACACTGGCACAGGTTTCCCTGTGGCTGCCCCATCCCTGGAAGTGTCCAAGGCCAGGTTGGAGCAACCTGGTGTCCCTGGTGTCCCATGGAAGGTGTCCCTGCCTCCCACTGGGTGATGTTTAAGATCCCTCCCAACCCAAACCATTCCACAATTCCACGATTTTGTGTTAAAACATTTATGTTTGCATTTAACTCACGTGGGAAAACGCAATATAAGAGGCAACACAAGTCGTTAAACTCTGCAATTTGTTCTTTTTTACACTCAAAAGCCCTTGGTGGGGAGGGGGAGAAGGAGAATCAAGAGTGAGAACAAGGATTTGCACCCAAGGATATTTTCTTTTTCCCTCTGGCACCTTGCTCTACAAAAGAAGGAAATGGGAGAAACGTTTAAAAGTCACTTAAGTGGTTTTTTTATGCATTTAAAGGTGTAAAACCAGTTTAATGTGAATGAGACTGAAAGAACATGAGTCACTTCCAAATGTGAGGCCCGGTCTGCCTTTGAGAAATGTGTTACTTATTAGTTTAAAACTAATGTACTGAACTGGTTCTGGGAACAGAAACTGTTTCAAATGCAGTATCATAATCAGCAGTGAAGTAAAGTTTTAAAAAAAATTAAAAATTAAAATTAAATTTTAATTAAAAAAATCAAAATAAGACCAGTTTAAGGAAAAAGAAATGTAGTAAATAGGATTATACTCAGACTATTCCTTCTCTTCATTCAGGAAGTAAAGCAGAAACACTACAATAATATCCTCTTTATAAAACATTCAGAAACATTTAGCTAAAAAAAAATAAAAATAGAAAGAAATCCAAGCAGAGACCGTTTTAAAAAAAAAAAAGAAAAATCAGTACTGACTTCATTTCACAAGAGGAAGAAGACAGAAGTTCTCAGACATAAAACACTGCAATTAATCAAAAATGTTTGAAAGGGTTTGCAACAACCAAAGGCAACAGACCCCCCCTGTTAAGGAAAGGCACTAATTGATAATGCAACCCAAAACCTCCTACCAAGGCCAAGGGCTCAGTGAGAAATGCTTAAGGATAAAGATACTGTGACAGCAGGAAATGTAGTTCTGCTGGAACTGTTATCTGCTCAAAACACAAATGTTATTCAACCTGAAAGACAAGCGATTATTCAAATAAATATTCAAATAAAGCCCCAGCTCCTCTTCGAGCTGCACAACTCACGAGTGAATATAAAGCAGAACCTTGAATATAAACCCAAATTTATCCCGTTGGAGGGTAAATGAGATGTTGTGGAAGAGGCAGAGGAGGAAATGGCTTTGACTTTGTGCAGGGTTGTTTTTGTTGGGTGTCCATCGAGTCCATGCCCACGCAGGAGGGAGAACTGAGACCATGGTTTGAGGCCAAGGGCTCGGTCTGACCTAGAAAATTCAGCTCAGCGTGGACAGGAGCAGGAACTGTCCCTTCCTGGTCTGGATCCACGGGGGGAGTGCATTCCAGGGCTGCCCACAGCGGGAGAGCTGCACTTGAACTTGACCTCTGTAGGAAAAAAAAAACCCACCAGAACACACAAAACCATTTCCTGGGCTACAGAAAACTGCGAAGCTGGAGATGTGTGTGAGCCCCGGATGTGGTTCTGAGCCCACAGAGCAGAGTGAACCCGTCAAATCACACGGCACAGAGCCCCAGGGCCCTTCAATCAGTGCATGAGGGGCAGACACAGACACCTCCAGAGCTTTTCTGCACCCCTGGACAGTAGGAATTTAAATTATTCGTGATATCTGTGCTTGATTTATCACACTGTGTGGGACATGGACTCCAAATACCAGCGAAAGAAGTAAAAACTCCAAACCTGTTCACTTGCAATTTGCTGCATCAAAACTACACCTAAAAAACATGCTTTTAAAGTGCAGGGAATTTGCTGGGAAAACCCAGTTTTTCCAGGTTTCCTTCAACGTGCAAGATGGGCAAGAACAGAATCATGGAATACCCTGGGCTGGAAGGGACCCACAAGGATCATCCAGTTCAGCTCCTGGCCCTGCACAGGCACCCCAAAATCCCACCCTGTCCCTGAGGGAGTTGTCCAAACACTCCTGGAGCTCTGGCAGCCTTGGGGCTGTGCCCACTGCCCTGGGGAGCCTGGTCAGTGCCCAACCACCCTCTGGGGGAAGACCCTTGTCCTGAGATCCAACCTAAACCTTCCTGACTCAGCTCCAGCCGTTCCCTGGGTCCTGTCCCTGCTCTGCTCAGAACAGCAGCTCTTCAAACCAACCCCATCCCATTTCCTCTTCCCAGGACACCTGTAGGGCCCAAACAAGCTGTGCTGCCACAAACAGATCCCGTCTTGAATTCCACCTTTGGACTTGATTTTCGTCCTAGAACCAAATGCTACCAAAAAGGAACACAAACAGGATATTCCCCAGGCAAAATTCTCTCAGATTAAAACTTGACAGCGAGGATTGTTTGCCAAGGGAATCTTATTCCCCCCAGTTTGGCAGCACTTGCTGGAGTTACTAAACCTTATCCGTGTCCACTGCTCAGATGCAGGTCCAGCAAATCCACAAACAAATAATTTGTTTCTGGTATTAATTCCCTGCAAACGCCACAAAGCCAATGGGAACTTTTGTTGGGGAAGTTTCTTTAAGTTATGCTGGCAAAGCATCTGCCAACAGGATGGAGCAGTCAGGAAATGCACTGGGCTCCAAAGAGCAAAGCTGAGGAGAGAAGCAGCCTAAAAGGGAAGTAGTGCAGCAGGACCTGAAGGAAACTCGGCTCCAGGATCAAGAATCCATGTCAAGACTGCAGATGCCACAGCAGTGAGGTAGGAATACCTGGCAAGGTTAATTGGCTGCCCTGTTCAAAGGGAAAAGACAGGAATGCCATAAGCTGCGTGATTAAACCACTCCATGCCCATCATTAAAGCACTCCCTTCCAAAAGCCTGGAGCATCACTGTCAGCAGCAGCATCCAAGAGCAAACACTGCCGGGTTACAGAACCCCATTTTACCACCCTGTGGGATAAAACAAAGGGAATAGGTAGAGAACCTGCAGCCAGACATGGAGATGGCATTTCATAAAGTACCCCAAATAATCTCTAAAAGCAAATATATAAATTAACCACCCCATGGTGCAGCCTGTTCTTCTGTCCCACTGCTCCAAGACCACGACTTCATTTTGGTTGAGTGTCCTGCTGACCTGGGGCAAGGACAACACATCCCAAAGTTACTCATTCACAGGGCAACAAGCATGTTTAGCCATCCCAAACCTTTCAGGAAAACACGTTCCCTTCAGATCCAAAAGCAGTTTCAGCTCAATCCCTGTGAGGAACAAACAATTCCGGGTGTTTGTCCTGATGAACCGCTTCGGTTTTCAATAAACACACACAAATAAAACACGAACTAAAGTGCGGGATCCACCGTTTCTGGCGCTGAGAGAACACTTGCCCAGCGCAGCATTCCAGGGTGTTATTCCAGAGCCTTTCCCAGCTCATCCCAAGGGAAGGAGGGAGCGGGATGAGGCGCCGGCCCAGCGCGCCCTCTCCTGGCGCGGCGCGGGCAGGACACCAAAAACGAGCCAAAATCGGTAAAAACGGCTCCGAACTTACCGGGTTCCCACCGATTCTGCAGGAAACGGATGGAATGTGCTCTAATGGATTTATTAAGAGCACAGACGATGGATCGCGACCTGCCGGGTGGGACAACACACGGAGAAACACCCTGTGCCCGGGCTGACCCTCCCTGCTGACATGACAACCAGCCAAGCAGGATTTTGGGGATTTATCCCATATTCCCATTCCTCTTCCATAAGCTGTGGGGCTGCTGCCATTGCTGGGACACACGTGGGGAACAGAAATGTTCTCGACTGCTCAGGGGAGGCTCTTGGAGGTGAAGGTGACGTGCAAAGGGCTTTGTCCGTCCTCGTCATCACTCCAAGTGGGTTTGAGCCTTAAAACCTCAACTCACGGCTCTCCTGGAACGGTGGGAAAGCACAGGTTGGGTTTTTCCCAGCCAACATGACTTAATTTGGAACTTCTCCCCCCTCACCTCACAGGTAGTGATGGGAAGGTCACACCTGCCCAACTCTTCTGGCCAAAACCTGACTTCCCCTCCTCAGAGAACACAAGAGCTTTCCAAGGAATTAATCCCAAAACCACCACACATCCTGGAAGATAAACACATTTTACACCTCGCTGACGTTCACAGAAAACCAACCACAGGAGGGTGATGCCTTCAAACAGCAGAAGAATTACACAACTCGTGTTCATGGGTTATAAAAGCCCTTTTATAAAGCCATTTTTAAACAAAACCGAAAAGTTTACAAAAGAAAATAAAAGATACAGAAGAATGAGTTGCTTAATATATTCCAAAAAGGAGAAAAATAAAAGAGGGGACACAATTCCAACATGCTGAACAATAAAGGGTTCTTTTTCCTCGTGGTTCTTTTTTTTTAATACAAAATACAAGCAAAGGATACACATACTTAAAACAGAGCTCAGGAGCAGGTATGCAGTCCTGGGAACCCTTTCAATAAAAGCAAAGCAGGGTTTTGTTATTTTTTTTTCTTTCTTTGCAGGTACATACAGAGACTGGAATATGTAAAATTAAGTAGCACAAAAGACCATCACACAATTCTACCAATGAATGTTGCATCTATAAATTCACGAACATGGTCGACAGTCATGTTCACTTCAACCCCTTGAAAAAACAAAACCAGAAGAAAGTGTGGGGTTTTTCTTTTTATTTTAAATAAAGCATTAATGTTACATTCAGACTTAACTCCTAGTACCATGCTTATCTCAGTGTTGTCAAGGTATTGCAAGAGTTGCCAACCCCACTGGGCCCAGAGGTGACTGTTTGCAGCTGCCCCTTTTCTGTCTGCTCTTGAGATCAACCAAAAAAAAAAAATTAAAGAGGATGGGGAGGGGAACTGCAAAGAGCCTGATTTTTAGAAAAGCTCAGCAGGGGATTGCAAATACTCAAGACAAATATTCATTGCATACCACAGAATGATGCCTTGCCCAAGGCCCTACCTGGAGTCTCCTCCTCCTCTCTCTACACCTTCCAACTGATTATTCAGGGTTTGCTGCGATGTTAAAACCGAAAAAAATTAACGTAGCCTCTTATTTACAGTTTTAAATTCCATTAACAATTGCTTCTGCAGGAGAGGAAAAACGAAAACAAAACAAAACAAAAATAAAAGGAAAAAAATTTAAAGAAAAGAAAGTTCAAACTCACAAAGCTCGTGAACACAAAGGGGATCAGATGTCGGACGCTCCCAGGCGCGCACTCACACCCGCGCACTCACACACCACAGACCTCGGGGGCTTTTACACACATTTAAGTTCTGGCTTAAGCTGATTTGAGGATTTCCTCTGTCCCACCCCGCTACCCCCTCCCCCCCCTCCCAAAATATATATATAAAAAACCCCTCGCCCCCAATATACAAAGCATATGCACAACGGTGGTTTGCAGTCACACTGAGCATGCTGGACCGGCTGCAGGGGCAGGAAGGCTGGAGTCGGGGCCAACAGTGGTTGATACAGAGTCAGCACGTGGCAGGACTTGACTAGACTTTTAGAAAGAGTCGTGGTTTGTTTTTAGTAGAAAGAGTTCAATGAAAAGACATTCAAAATGCCAGTCAGCTACTGAAGTGGGGAGTCTGAAAGGAGGGCACACTTGATTTTTGGGGAGGCCTCGAGAGGACACTGTCGGCTCTCGGAGCTCTGATGCTCCTCAGAGCACTTAAGAAACAAAAAGTCACCTTGGACAGCAAGAACAGAACAGTTAGTGTTGCTTCCTATTTGATCAGAACTTATATTTGAACCTCCCAAAACTGTAGGAAAATATTCGAAAGCTCAGGGAACATTTTTCTATTTGATCATACACATATAGAATATATAATTTCCACATATAGGTGTGACCCCCCCTCAAACTAACATCTCCTACATGCCAGCAACTACCTCGTGACAGTGTCCCTTTAAATATCCATCTGCTTCATTTTCACCTCCCCCCAACAGATGAACGTCCACTTCTCAACCAAATATTAAAACTCACGGATCAGTTTGTAAGATTTGAAGAACCATGTGTTCAACAATATGATCTGTTATAAAAATAAACACTTCACAAACAAATTACATAAAGCAAAGCACCAGTTTCTACAGCTCAAAAGCTTCCAGCATGTTACAGTTTTGCTTCCCTCCCTCCTTAAAACCTGGGTGCCTCAGTGTCTATTGTACCTTTGTGACCATCACCAGTGGAGGGAAAAAAAAAAGAAAAAAGGGAAAGAAAAAAAAAAAGAAATAAAAAAGGAAAAAACCAGGAATTCCAGCACATCTTCCGCCACTATCCCTGGTTGTCCATCACCTCCTGTGCTGGCACAGGAGCTGAGCAGGCTCAGAACCATTACCTGGCACTGGTGAGTCACCCAAGGTGTGCTGCTTCTCTCCCCTCACACTCTTCTGCTTTGATGAAGTTAAAACCAAATGAAAAGCTTCTCAGCTGCCCCGTTTTTGTCAGGCTCTCCCCCAGAGTCCACTCGGAAACCCGTTTAGCTCAGCATGGTTGGCATTCCCAGGCTGATCAGAAACTGAAGCAAATCACCTTAAATATAAAATTCCAACCAAAACTGCCAATTTTGATCAAACCTCGTTCAAGGCAGGACTATTGGCATAAACTGCAAAACTCAGCGTGGTGGTGTGGATTTAGAATCTCCAAAAGAATGTATAATACAAGTTATAAACTACTAGTTTTTAAATGGTAAGATCAGGGCAGAACTCGAGACTAACTAAAACTTTGGAATAAATCCATTTACCTCTCTGCAGAGGCTCCAAAACTACAGCTATGGAACAAGATTTTCAAAGCCTCCTGTGAACAAAACTTTCTGCTCCACGAAGAACCATTCATCCTCCCAAAGAAAGGCATTTGCACAGCTTTCCTTCAAGAAATCAGAATGCTTAACACAAATTAATTAAGAAAGGACATTGAAAAATGTGAAGCTGCTGCTGCTGCTGAAAAATGGGGTGTGCTAAAAATAATTAAATGTAATAAAAATATGAATGTAAACTGCTGCACTTCTAACAGAGCAGCCAAGAGACCATCAGGGCTTAGTGTTTGCATAAATCAGCAAGACAGGAAGATTTAGAAAAAGTTCCAAAATCCCCAAAGCATGGGATTTACATAGTGTTTGGGACGTGACAAACTCAGAAAATAAGCATCATGGAACAGCCACGAGAAATGAAGGTGTGAGGAAAACAAAAAAAGAACAGTTCTGTGAGATAAAGGGCCAAACTCGCCAGGCATAAAACAATCCAGTCCCAAAACCTGAGCTGAGAACAAGGGAAACAAGATTTTTTCACAGCCTTGACTTTTCTTAACCATGCTGGGGAAAAAAAAAGACCCCAAAAATATGTATTTGAAGTGGAACTTACAAAATACCCTCTTCAGAAAAGATCTGGTCCAGCAGGTGAAGAACCAGCTGTTTGACCAGATGAACTGGAATAATCCTTGCACGTTTTAATACCAAAAAAAAAAAACACCCTAAGAACCCAATGGGCAAGAGTAGCTTGAAACACAGTCTGGATTGAAGGGGAACAACTCTGTGAACCAAACACTTGCAAGAGTGTTTAAAAACCCCAAAATGGTTTTTAAAATATGGCCATTTCTTTTCCCATATTCCCCAAGAAGCACAGGACTAGGAGCAGAGGGAATGCAAGAGACTCTGCTCTCCCAGAAATCAGGGAAGAGGTGTGGGAGAGGAGAGGGGATTTTACATTCACTTCTTTTTCAAGACTGGTACTTCAGCCTTAAGCTGCTCTGGGAAAGTTGAACCACTTCAAAAATGCAAGATTTACAATCGAAACAACGATCATCTTTATTGTAACGGCAACAGTAGTTTCATGAGAGTAAAGAACGTTAGAGAACTTGAAATTTTTATAAGCCAAGGTAAAGTAATTTACCAGCCTCAATAAAAACCAGGGCTATGAACCACACAAGACAAATCACTCGGCTGCTGCATTAATATTCCATTCCCCATCTGAGGCTCCACACTGTGCTCAGCATCCTCAGGCTCCCTATGGATTCAGCCAAGTGTCCTTCCTGATCATATTAGTGTATCACATCTAAGAGCTCTCTAAAATCCAAACAGGATTACGAATCTGGTAGCATGTGCTACCAGAAATCCAACTAATTAGCTGCCTTATGTTACCTTCAAGAGGCTGGTTACAAAATGTGTAGTTCTGTGACAAAAAAAAAAAAAAAAAATAGGATGCAAAAGTTTGTCAGCTGGAAGATAACTGTGAGCAACCAACAGAAGCACAAAGGGTTTAAAGGAAACAAAAAAAGAAAGAAAAATGGCAGGTCCAGTTTTCAATATTTTCCACCAACAAACATGGCAGCAACCTCTGTAATCAGGGTTTGAAAACCAAGGCTTGTGTAGTTTAATGGAGGTTTAAAAACGAACATAAAACAATGACAAAAAAGGACGTGGCTGCTTTGATAAAAGCACATTAAAATGCCACCACACACAGCTCGAGTGTCTCGCTTTTATAGAGGGACATCCTGCTTGCCATCTAAAACAGTCCTGCTTCCAACACTCCACTTCCTCCCAGCTCCAGCCTTGGCCACCGTTCCCTACCCAGCGCTTCCCAGGCTCAGGGAGCTGGACCAGCAGACGTGGGGCTGTGGGAGCAAAGCCTCCCACGCTGAGGGATGGAGGGATGGGGGTGTGGAGGTGGGATTAGAGGGATGCTCTACAGGATGGAAGGATGAGGGTGTGGAATTGGGATGGAGGGGATGTTCACTGCCTGTCCCACACTGAGGGATGGAAGGATGAAGGTGGGGAGGTAGGATGGGGGGCATGGTCACTGCCTGCTGTCCCACACCACAGGATGGA